ATTCGGCCAATCACAACGCACTGGATAGCTGGCCAATCAGAGCACACCTTGCTTTTCAGACCGATGAGCTTTGTAAAAATTGACGCGTTTCAGAAAGGCGGGCATAGAGGAGAAACAATAATGTACAGTATGTGGAAAATAATGTGTTTTTTAAACCTTAAACCGCAAAATAATGTTCTTTTTAGCAACATCATATGACCCTTTAAAGCAAATCAAAATGCTTTAAATGAAGTCAAACCCTTATTAAGAAAACCAAAAATGCTTTAAATTAAGTCAAACCAGTTTAAAGCAAACCAAAACGCTTTAAATAAAGTCAAATTACTTTAAAGCAAATCAAAATAATTTAAAAGAAGTCAGACCACTTTTAAGCAAACCAAAATGCTTTAAATGAAGTCACACCACTTTAAAGAAGACCAAAATGCTTTAAATGAAGTCAAACCACTTTAAAGCAAATCAAAATGCTTTAAACAAAGTCAGTACACTTTAAACCAAACAAAAACGTTTTAGATGAAGTTAGACCACTTTTAAGCAAACCGAATGAACCGAGATTGTTTCAGTAAAGTTAAATATGTAATATGAAAGCAAAGTGCTCATGGTTACCTTTGCTTTCACATTTGCATAATTACAAATGATAAAAAATAATAATAATTAATAGTGTAAATACATTGATATTAAAGATATCTGTGCTAACGAAATGAGAATAGAAACCAAGTGGTAGTGTGAATGCAAAACTGGTCTATTTAAAGAGGTGTGTGTCTGATTCTAAATTAAGATCAATTAGATCTTACTCCATTTTAAAGTCCAGTGTGAATGCAGAACAGGTCTGAGTTTGATTCTTACAAAAAGGAGATAATCAAGTTTCACTGGCTTTAGATGATACAATAAAAATATCTGTAATGAGAAGTATTTTATTTATTTCCAAAATCAAATGTTTCTAGAAGCATTTAGATTCCCGCATTGCTGGCAAGAGTACAGCTTTCATTGGCCTTCACTGAAGCACAGTGATGCCGAGATCTGTGGTTTGTGCTGTCTACATTATAGATGAGTTTCTGCATTAAAGCTTAATGTTGTTATTTAGATGTTCAAGCAAGGCGAGAATTCAAGAGTTCTATTGATTGATGGACTACATTTCTCCAGGCAGAATGAGGAAAAAAAATGAGAAGATTCCTGAACTGACCAACACTGGATTGAGAATGGGTTTCAATTCTGCGAGAAGAAACAATACCCACTGTTACAGTAAACTTCATCTGAGTTATCCCCGCAATCATTCACGCCATTACAGAATCGATGGTTGGCCACACAGCGCTGGTTATAGCACAATTTAAAGCCGTGTCTGCAGTTCCGGTTCTCTATAGAATGATAAAGCTAAGATTAGGCATAGGACTGTACAATAACATGTATTCAAGATATTTAATAAAGTTATATGAAGGATAGACAGACAGACAGACAGACAGACAGACAGACAGATAGATAGATAGATAGATAGATCTAGAGTTAGAAAAGATAGAGTCTTTTCATAAATATGCAATAAATATGCAATGTAAAGTCTGGATAGTAAAACTATCTGAGAGCAACTGCTTCATTAGAAACTCTGCTTGAGAAAGTAAAGACAGAGGGAGAGAGAGAGACAGAGCAGCAGTCAGCCTGTCACATCACTCGCACTCATTACATTTTTGCCAGGCTTCTCTAAGCTCGTCTTATTAGCCCGAGTCACAGGAGAACAGGAAGACCTTCTGTAGCTTCCTTCATTCAGTTTAGAGATGATACCTGAGGGCTCAAACACAGCACCTTGCCTGATTGGGTTCTTACCACAATACTGTATCTTCTCATCCGACCTGTCTTTGCAGTGCTCGATGCCATCACATGTAAGTTGGAAATCGATGCATTCCCCGTTTCCGCACTGGAACTCAGAGTTGATGTTACAGGAGGAGTTCATGGCTAGACGACGAGAGTAAAAGAGATTTGTAGAGTTGTGATGTGCTGCGTTGAAGTATAGATTAGGGATGTGCATTGACTGCTTCAGTGTTTGACACATAATCAGACGAGGATAGACGTGGCAGTAGAGTTCCATTTACACTTTTTTTTTTTACTGTGAGTCTATGTACACAAACTTCAGAGGGATGTCTCCTTGGCCTTTGCATTGCGTCCCCTGTGTTCTGTTCTGTTCCATCTGATGCACTATGTCTAGCTGTTTGAACACAAAAACACATCTGTGTATAAGCCCCATAATCCTCTCCAAGCAGAGTCGAGCGCTGTTGCAATCCTAGACTGAAAGTCACCGTGTATAGTGTCCGTATGCTACCATCCTGAATCTAACCAATGTTTCTTAAAGTCACACAACTGTGTTTCCAATTTTTTTGTACTCATGCCAATCCCTAACAAAAATAAATTACAGGTACAGTAGATGGGTGTTCCAGTATCAATATCTAGACAGAAGCCCCCAGAACCATTTAATATCTAGATCTAGCCAACGGTATCAACTATGCAAATGTGAAATGTAATGTAAATGTAAAGAAACCGGCATTCAGACCTGGCACATCTATCCAGATGGGAATCTGTAGTGGCTCCAAATAGGTGAAAATAAAATCACTTGGCATTTACAGTGTAGCAAAAGGAATTTGGATTACAATCTGGAATAAGAATTTAGTCAACAATCTGAAATCTACAATTCAGATCAGAATCTTGATTTAGAATCTATATTCAGAGCTAAATTTGGATTCAAACCTGGTTCAAACAGAATCTGAATCATAATCTGGATTTAGAATATGGATCATAATCTAAATCCAGATCACAACCTTGGTATCGAATCCATACATTCAAAGCAAAGGAAATCTGTATTGCATATGGATGTGCAATTATATTTTACAATACAGATCCAGAACCTAAATCTGAATCACAATCTGAATTTATATTCAGAGCAAAATGAGCTTGGATTACAACCTGGATGTACAATCTAGATCAAAATCTGGTTCCAAAAAGCAAATGGAATCTAAATCATAATCTGGATTTAGAGTACGGATCATAATATGAATTTAGACCACAATCTTTATTTAGAATCTATATTCAGAGCAAGGAAAATCAGGATTACAATCTTTATGTACATTTGTTTTTTATAATCTGGATCCAGAATCTAAATTATGAGCAAAATTCATGTAAACCACAATCTGGATTTAGAATCTATATTCAGAGAGGGGAAAAAAATGGATTAAAAACCGGTTCCAAAATTAAATATATTTAGAGCAAACAGAATCTGAATCATAATCTGGATTTAGAATATGGAATATAACCTGAATCTAGACCATCAACTTTATTCAGAATCTATATTTAGAGAAAGGGAAATATGGAATACAATCTGTATGCAATCTGGATCCAGAACCTAAATTATAAATTCTAATTCTAAATTCTGAGCAAAATGAATTTGAATCGCATTCTGGATTTAGAATATTTAAAGTAAAATGATTTTAGCTGCAATATGGATGTACTATATAGATTACAATCTGGTTCCAAAATGACATATTCATAGCAAATAGAATGTGAATCATAATCTGTATTCAGAATATGTATCACAATCTGAGTCCAGATCACAATCTTAGCTTCTGAATTACAATCTCATTGCACACTTGGTTTTTCATAATTTGGGTCCAGAACCTAAATTCTGACCAAAAAATGAATTGGAATCACAATCTGGATTTGGAATCTACATTCAGAGCCACAGGAATCCTAGTCATTTATATTTGTACATAATATTAATAATAATATAAATACTAATAAGCATATGAATGCTGCAGTAATAAGGTTGTTGGGCCACAGCCACGCTGATTGATTTATGCTGTAGCTTGTTCCTAGAGCAGCAGAATGTTCTTCTCACTATGCCAAAAGCGGCCGTTCTGTCCCACATGCCCCCTGTTTCTCAGCTATCCGCCTCCAGACCTAGGGCATGTCAGACCTGAACGTGCGCTCTGAATTTCAATCCAGAGTGAATCAGCCACCAAACATTTCACATTCTCAAAACTTGCTTTATCACCAGTATCCCAAACAGAAATATCTGCTATTATTTGGAATACGCCAGCATAAAGATAGCCTCAATACTAACAGATATGGACTTAGCCACATAACTCTGAGACAAAGTACTGAGACATACTAGAAAATTTGGGGTGAGTGAAAATGAGCAATAGATACAGAGAGAGAGAGGGTACAGGACTTACATACACATCTGTTATCATCCAGTAATATCCGTTCTCCACGGCAAGTACAGTTTACCACACCAAGTGGAGTCAAAAGGCAAAGGTCATGGCACCCTCCATTATTCATGCTGCAGGGGGATGACTCACCTAAAAGTAATAAGAGAAATCTTTGGTAACAAATCACTCATTTTGAGATTTACAACAATAAATAAATAAATAAATAAATATAAAAGTATTGTTAAAATAAAAAGCTGCAGAATAAAGAATATATAATTCAGAGCAAAATGTACAGTATTTGGATTGCCATATGGATGTACAATATAGATTATAACCTGGTTACGGGACTATATATTCAGAGCATATGGAATCTGAATCATAATCTGGATTTAGAATATGAATTCTAATTTGAGTCTTGACCACAACCTTCATAACCTTCAAAATCTATAAATAATCTGGATCCAGAACTTAAATTCTGAACAATATGAATTTGAATCACAATCTTGGTTTAAAATCAATTTTCAGAGCAAATGAATTTGGATTGCAATTTGGATGTACAAAAGGGATCATAATATATTTTCAGAAATGCATATTTAGAGCAAATAGAATATAAATCATAATCTAGAATATGGATCCTACTCTGAATCTTGACCACAACCACCATTTAGAATATATTAATAATATGGATGCAGAACCTAAATTCTGAACAATATGAATTTAAATCACAATGTTGGTTTAAAATTAATTTTCAGAGCAAATGAATTTGGATTGCAATTTGGATGTACAAAATGGATCATAATCTGGTTTCAGAATTCCATATTTAGAGCAAACAGAATATTAATCAATCTCGATTTAAAATATGGAAACTAATCTGAATCTAGACCACAATCTTTATTTAGAATCTATATTTAGAGCAAGGCAAATCTGAATTACAATCTGCATGTATTTACAATATACATGTACAATATGTATACAATGCATTTTGCATATGCATACAATATACATGCAATTCTTTCTTTCTTTCTTTCTTTCTTTCTCCAGAACCTACATTTTTATCAGTATGAATCTGAATAACACTCTTTGTTTAAAATCTATATTCAGAACAAAATGAATTTGGATTGCAATTTGGATGTATAATCATAATCTGGTTCCATAATTCTATATTCAGTGCAAATGTAATCTGAATCATAATCTAGATTTAGAATATGGATCACGATCAATATTTGGAACCTATAGTGAGAGCAGCAGGAATCTGAATGACAATCTGGATTTAGATCCAAGCAATTCAGACACAAAATCTTTCTAGCGTATTAATTCATTAATATAATTAAGGATCCTTGTATTATTAAGTAATGAGCACAAAACATGTTTGTTTGTTGGAATACAGAACAGCATTATTGAATGCTGTGTGAAATATTTTATTAATTTCTCACTGCCTTTCAGAACGCTCTATTTTAACTGTGGCCTAAGGCATCCGATGTCTTTTAACACAATACATTCAGCCTAGCACCGTACACACACACACACACACACACACACGCACACACACACACACACACACAAGGCTTGAAGGGCACTCTTGCAGTCCCAGTCAGAGGGTTGGGCTCCTCAGCGGGTGTGAGCTTGAACTGTGCTTGGCACAGACGTTGGCGTGGAGCGCGGGTCTCTGAACCGTGCCCTATCTACACACAAGCGGCTGCCAGACTCCAGAGCCGTGGGCCGAGCGTATTCCCCTGCACAAATGGTGAGGATTCAGATGAGTGCATTGGGCCAGCATCTTTCACCGTAGCGACATGGGGCTTCAGTCCTGGGAGGCTTTCGGTTATTATGGGATGGGGCTTTTAATAGCTTGGACTCTTCGATGGCTGATTTCTGTTGGCCGGCGATTATAAAGGAATGTTTATTAGTTGGAACAAAAGGAACTGGAGATGGTACCCACTTTTAAAGGGACAGTTAACCTAAAAAAATAGTAATTATGTCATTATATGCAGAAGGAAAAAGTAATGTGGTTTGGAACAGCATAAGGGTGCATTAAGTTTGTCTTATTTTTGTTGTGATTTAAAAAGCAATGTGGGGAATTACTTAGAATTTCAGCATTTTATAGCTCCGTCTGAGCAAATTCTCTGAATAGAGTCGTCTGCGCTATATAGATAGGAGGGACGGTGGCTACCGAGGTCCAAATCTCCTAAGAGAGTCCTGAGATGAAAAAAAATCTAAATTTGCGGTTTGGGATGCCAAGCATCTAAGCTGCTTCCATTAGAGTCCTTTGAAACAGTCTGTATCGAAGCCAAGAAAGAAGCAGAGTGGAAAGTCGGCATTCTATAAATGTGTCACGTTCTATAAATTCTGCTAATTCTGTAAATTTCATGGTGCAGTTTTACTTCCCGGGTGAATTGAGTTTGGTTTCTTCGCTTTAAAGGGATCATATGATGTTGCTAAAAATAACATTATTTAGTGTATTTTGTGTAATGAAATGTATTTATGCAGTTTAAAGTTAAAAAAACACACTATTTTCCACATACTGTACATTATTGTTTCTCCTCTATGCCCCGCCTTTCTGAAATGCGTCGATTTATACAAAGCTCATCGGTCTGAAAAGCGAGGTGTGCTGTGATTGGCCAGCTATCCAGTCTTGTAACACTCCAACGAGAAAGGAAAAATTTAAATCGCATCATATGAACCCTTTAACAGATTTACGCCTCAGGCACTTGAAATGTGGTGCTCTTTGGGAGTTTTAACAGATGCAATTACCAAGCACTGCAGGTTTAAGTTTCGTGGTCCGAAAATATAAACGTAAAAGTCACCATGTGCACTAAACAGAATTTATGTAAATGTATTTCCAGCAGTGGCCAGGCTGGACTGGGTCTCAGTATTTTGAATGGGACTTGAATGGAGGTTACCAAGATGAATTTGCTGTATTAACTCAGTGACAAATACTAAAGTGGGTCATTTAGATTGTTTTGTTTTGTTTTTTTGTCTGCTTAAATTTACATGTTAAATTTCTGTACCAATTTTTGTAATATAGTGAAAATAACAGCGTACTTTTACTTGGCATTTACATTGGCAAGAGAAAAAAATGCATTTAAAGTACTGACAATATAAAATACAATATAATTTATAATCTGGATGCATAATTTATAAGAAATGGAATATAGAGTCTAAATTATAATCAGAATGCAATTACAATGCATATATATATATATATATATATATATATATATACTTTTTTACTTATTGTA